TCAGGCTGAAGATTTTGTTGATGTCAGTGGGCGAGTGAATCTCTTGAAAGAAGAACTGCCCGTTGCTAAGTGAGTATTACTTAAAGTAGAAACACGATAAAAACAGATAGTAAGCACCGAATCAACCAAGCCACACTTGCTTAGGGTTCTAAATAGCTGCCTGCCAATGGCCAAATGAATAATAAAATGGCATGCAAAATTTACTGGATTTACCTCCTTTTACCATGCTCCTTTACTTTGGCAGGCTGAAAAAAAATTCTATTTCAAGCCCTGTTGCTCCTTTAATATCTAGAATGACGCGCATGGTCACTTGTAACTAATAAACTACTTCGACGATACGACGGCCATCTTGGATCACAAGGCATTATGGGACGTCCAGGGGAAAAATAAAGCTTTTTTTACAGTAATGACGTCGATTGATATTAACAGCTCACCACAAGAGAATACAACAAGATGTATTTAGACGGCACATAGATCACCTTTACCCAGAAAAGAAAGACAAACACCTGAAACTCTATATATTTCCCGTTATTTTTGTTGCCCCTGTATCGTCGAAGTAGTCCATTTCTCTTTCCTTTTATAGCGGAAGTGACGTCACATACCAATGAATCTAACGCTTGTTTCATACGTCTTTCTTCCAGRACAGACACGTCGTTATTTTCTTGGTATCAATACCTAGTGAATCCTGAGCCTGCGATGACACGTGGTCAGACACCAGAAGACAAGGAAGCACAGAAGCAGGCGCAGACTGTCATCCGGGTATGTTGAACATTCCTCTTTCGCAATGAATGCATACCGAAATTTTGATGACCGCTGACTTGCGAGTTTGGCTTGGTTTAAAAGAATTTCATAACAATACTCAAAAGAATACTAACCAGGTTCTWTAAACTAATTACGATCCTGAGACGAAAAAAACTGACCAATTTTCTTTGATTAAAGCGACATTCTCCTTACGAGCGCGCGCTATGGCGCAAGAAACAAGCGTAAAAACTTGACGCGCGCGCGCTCAAGCTTTCCTTTTCGTCGATCGTTAGCCATTCAGAAACCTTAATTTTGAAACGACAAATACCACAAAATGTTGTCGTCGCAAAAATATAAGAGACTATTAGTGAATCGCGATACTAAAAAATACTGGTAGAGAAAGAAGTAGTAGCTACTGACTCGGACGTATTAACTACTTCAGCAGCCACGCACGCTTAATTTAGCATTTTTCTTTTAAAAAAACTAGGATTTTCTGTATTTTTTTTTATTACATAACTTCACTCTTTTGTAACTAATGTCGTCATACATGGGGTGGCATTGTATTTGTCGTATTTATTAACACGTATGTCTTGTTGTTGCTTTCAGGATTTACACCCGGAACTATTGATAACCGAGAGTAAATTCCTCCGTTTCGAATCTCTCAATGAATTAATAAAGGTTTGTATCTTACATGACAAAAGACATAGCCGCCATGTTGGTTGATATAACGAAAGAAACCAAGACCCAAAGTCAACCAACATGGCAGCTATGACGTCACTTGTACAAGGACAAAAGACATGGCCGCCATGTTGGTTGATATGAAGAAAGAAACCAAGACCCAAAGTCAACCAACATGGCGGCTATGACGTCACATACACAAGGACAAAAGACATGGTCGCCATGTTGGTTGATATGAAGAAAGAAACCAAGACCCAAAGTCAACCAACATGGCGGCTGTGATGCACTACACAAGGACAAAAGACATGACCGCCATGTTGGTTGATATAACGAAAGAAACCAAGACCCAACGTCAACCAACATGGCGGCTATAACGTCACATACACAAGTAAAAAAAACACACCCTTGCTTCCTCGGGACAACATTGATTCGCTTGCTAGATTCAACCATTTTGTACCGTTTGCTTATATATTTTTGCTATGTATATCCAGGTACTTACGTACACGTCGAACCCGGACAATTTCGAGTCGATTGGTGTTCATTTTGATGAAGAATCTGCCGTGTTCTGCTTGGAGTTATTAATACGCGTGGTGCTACAAAACAGGTAGGGTATAGATATTATACAATAGAGGTTTTGCACCATCACGTGCCYATCCCATAATACTGCTTGGGCTTSCTGTGGTTAGATGGCAGAACAAAATCTCTTTGCTCTCGGGAATTGAATATTCCATTTTACAGTTCCATTCAGTGACCACGAATAATAGTTCCTAGGCGAGACTGGAGTTTCC